ACGTAGCCCCGTTCTGGCCGGGCCGAGTATGGTTCTCGGACCTGATTTCTCTCCTCGACAGCGCTCCATGGGAGATTCCCATCAGGAGAGATCTCCTCTCACAGGCGGAGGGTATGATCATCCACCCCCGCCCGGAGCTGTGGAAATTGTGGGTGTGGCCCCTGAGGGGGCACAACTCATAGCTTCCGGTCTCTCAACCAAGGTTGTTGAGACCATCCTTCAATCCAGAGCTCCCTCAACAAGGAAACTGTACGCCTTGAAGTGGAAACTTCTTGGTGCGGAGACCGCCAGCTCGACCCAGTTAACTGCCCGGTTGGTACAGTGATGGAGTTCTTGCAGGCCCGTTTCTCCGCAGGGTTGACCCACTTCACCCTGAAGGTCTACGTGGCGGTTATTGCGGCCTACCACGCCCCTCTTTGTGGCCAGTCAATGGACAGATACCCCCTAGTTCCACGTTTCCTCCGCGGTGCGCTGAGGCTGAGGCCTCCAGTATGATCTCGGGTCCCCACGTGGGACATGGCTGTGGTGCTAGAGGCTCTCTGTAGGCCTCTCTTCGAGCCTATTGAGGAGATCTCTGATCGCCACCTTACTATCAAAACTACCTTCCTTCTGGCGATATCTTCTCTCAAGAGAGTTGGGGATCTGCAGGCCCTTTCAGTGGCCCCGTCTTATCTTGACTTTGCGCCTGGTCTGGCCAAAGCGTTTCTGTTCCCTCGAGCAGGGTATGTTCCTAAGGTTCCCTCCTCTACACCACGGCCTATCGTACTCCAGGCCTTCAGTCCTCCCTTCGGGGATCCAGACCAGCAGAAGCTAAACTGTATGTGTCCAGTGCGAGCATTGGACGCATACGTCCACAGAGCTGCCTTGTGGAGAAGGGCGGACCAACTGCTCGTATGCTATGGTCCCCCTAAGAGAGGTCTTCCTGCTATGAAACAGACCCTCAGCCGGTGGATAACAGATGCTATTTCTATTTCTTATGAGTCCTCTGATCTCCCTTCGCCTCTTGCGGTCAAGGCTCACTCTACGAGAAGTGTGGCGGCCTCTAAGGCCTTCTTGGCAGGTGTCTCAATGCAGGACATCTGCGATGTTGCAGGATGGTCCACGCCCCTGACCTTCGTCAGGTTTTATGGCCTAGACATGCGTTTCAGGCTCCTCTGTTCTCGCGCCTTAGCTGTGCACGCTTCCACACTAGACGAGATTTGAAAGTCTGGCGGCATGGGCATTCTCGTTCCCAAAGCGTCCTCCGATGCAGCTCGAGTTCCTGAAGAGGAACGTCTCAGGTTACGTATGTAACCATGGTTCCTCGAGGGAACCAGACGCTGTGCCCCGGGGCCATACTTTCGGCATCTCTCCCAGCGTGCACGCTTCCACACTAGACGAGATTTGAAAGTCTGGCGGCATGGGCATTCTCGTTCCCAAAGCGTCCTCCGATGCAGCTCGAGTTCCTGAAGAGGAACGTCTCAGGTTACGTATGTAACCATGGTTCCTCGAGGGAACGAGACGCTGTGCCTCGGGGCCATACTTTCGGCATCTCTGCCAGCGCTTGCTTCATTCCTGGAAGCTGACACTGGTCTCACCGCACGTGCTTTTATAGCTTTCTGGTCATTACGTCACCCACACGTGACGTCTCGCCCATCTATTGGTCTGATTACACACGAGGTTCAGAGCCGGTCACGCTGAAGGGCGTTCCCGAAGCGTCCTCCGACGCAGCATCTCGTTCCCTCGAGGAACCATGGTTACATACGCAACCTGAGACGATATCTATATATATATATAATTTGTGGGGGGGGGGCGCAATAGGGATTTCGCCTAGGGCGTCAAATTGGCTAGAAACGGCCCTGCCTCCAGTAGAGAGAAACTAGAGAGACTGTAAAGAAGGAAGATGCTGGTGTGTCGATACATCTGTCTGGAGCAGATCTTCAGGATGTTGTCCCTTCTTCGATGTCTCTGCCAAATGTCAAAACTGAAATCTCAGTAGGCTTGTCTTGTGTCTTATATGTCTGATGTTTCTAGCCTTCATTTGACAGACCTTTTAACTATCGACAGGAAGTCTGCTTTACCAGACCAACAGACCAGTTATACAGGAAGGGGTTGTATCATTCTGTCTATTGTTCTAACTGCCATTCTGTATGTCTGCTGGTCTATCTATCATTCCTTCTGTCATTCTATAAATCGTTGCATCTATCTATCTATCTATCAATCTATCAATCTATCTATCTATCTATCTATCTATCTATCTATCTATCTATCTATCTATCTATCTATCTATCTGTCTATCTGTCCGTCTGTTTGTCTGTCTGTCTGTCTGTCTATCTTGATAGATTGATTTTTGTCTGTCAATCAATTGATCATTCTATCACTTTATCACTATTTTTCATTCTGTCTGTCTGTCTATCTATCCATCCAACTTTCTATCTATCTATCTATCTGTCTATCTGTCTGTCTGTCTGTCTGCCTGTCTGTAGTTGATTAAATTTATACATAACCATTTTAAAGTTTAATAAAAAGTTTATATTTTTCTGTCATTCTATCTTTTGCTCTCTATTTTTCTATCATTCTGTCTTTTCTATTTTTCTTTTGTTCCATCATTCTATTCTATCTATTGTTCTATCACTATATCATCCTATCTGTGTCTATCATTCTATATACCATCCTATAAATTCTATAAAATCTTTCATTCTGTCTGTTCTTCTATCTTGGATAAATAATTCCATTTCTTGTTCTTTCTATAGTTTTATCATTCTGCTGTTCCTTCATCATTCTATCATTTTTCCTGTTCTATTATTCTATCTATAATTTTTGTTCTGTCTATCTGTTGTTCTAATGTTCTTTTTATAATTCTGTCATTTTTCATTTTGTCATTCTATTTATCCGCCTATCCTTCTTTGTGTTGTTCTAACACTCTTTTCCTCATTCTGTCTGTCTGTTATAACTTTTTATCTGTCTATTTATGATGGTAACGTTCTGTCTACCGATCTATCATTCGTTCTGTTAATTTATCCATCTTTATCTGTGTCTTTTCTTCCATTTTGGCTACTATTAATCCTTTCTTTCTTTCTTTCTTTCTTTCTTTCTCTTTCTTTCTTTCTTTCCTAGCTGCCTCTCTCTTTCCTCTCAGTGCAGATATGAGAGTGTCAGGTTGAAGAGGATCAATTGAAGGCTTGTCAGGGTTGAGTGCAGGGCTGTTCAGTGTGGACTGGGAGTGCTGTAACCGTGGCCTCAGTTCTTCTAATCAATGCAATAATCACTTCTACCTCTCTCACAGGCCCTGAAGCACTGCTCGCCGTTTGCTGAGCATTTCTTTCATGTGCTATCAATCCGCATAGGGCTCGGAGGGGAAGGGGAGCAAGGAAAAAGATAGCGGTCTGTTTTTGTGAGCGAGAAAGGGCGTGTTTGTCTTAGAATGAATGTTTGGGAACAATTGAAAGAGTTTCTGCTCTCTAGGCGGAAGATGGAGAACCATTAAGTGTTTTTTTATTGTGGAGTCACTGTTATCATTGCTCTTGTACAGATGACCCACCTCCCTTAATTACCTCATTAATGTTTCATCCCCATTAATGATGCTTGAAAATGGTCTCTAGAGTAAACTAATGCTAAAGACAAATGAAGGAGGAGAAGAGTGAGGGGTGTAACTTTGAGATCAGTCATAAAGGACACATTTCCTCTCAAAGCACATTAAACAGGATTTCTGGCTATGAAACGTTCCATTTTTCAAAAGGATTTTCAAATAGAAAGTATAACTTTCAGGATCCATATTGGCCTTTTCCAGTTCATTGCTATACCTTATTCACCTCCATTGCACTTTTTAGTTTGCTTGGAGCACCAACTATCAGCGTTTGATGGAGAAAGTGCTCCAGGACTAAGAGGATATAGTGCCTAATCATTTTGATTTAGCAGGGCAGTGTCCATAACAGGACATTTTAGTACTGTAAAGTGTCTGATATCCAGATAAATTAAAATATTTCACACTGCTGTTAGCAAACATCACATCTCCTCCCAACAGATGTTCCTACATCCTCATTTACGATCTTCCTGTGACACCAAAACAATGCACAGACAGTGATAAGGAAGAACATAATGCACAATAATCAGTGTCATGTTGAGATGGGTGGGTTTGCAACATCAAGTAGACAACTAGCTAGAATGGACCATTTCATTTGTAGCTGTCTGCTTCTGCTGCCCCATGTTGTTTGAGTGACTCATTTCTTTTGTCGGGGCAACTGCCATGAGCTCGAAAAGTCCAATGATCATTTCTCTCTGTCTGTGACAGCTGATGTATAGTCTGTACTCATCTTTAGACCACCTTTTCTCTCTTTACACTTGAATGAAGTTAATGAACTCATTCAGCATAAATACCGCTGAGAATGCAGTGTCTCTCCTTGGTTGCTTCTTGGAAGTTTTCACAGCTAAACTTTTCAAAAATGAAGGAAGATTGACATTTACAAGTATTGTGCTTTGGTAGTCCCACCTGCATCCTGCATCCGTGTCCCAGGATGCACTGTTCCTCCTGTCTCTTAAGGTCAAATTGACATTTGAATGTACATTTTCTGCATATAATGCATAAATGGATCTATTCATAGCTTCGATGAGCCGTTATATACCTTAAGTTAGACAGTTGTGTCTACCCATTTCCTCACCCCTTCACGATTTTATATAAATAATTGCTTCCTCTAAATTCACTTAAGTGTAGCTGAAAGCTACACCCCATTGCACTCAATTGCACAAGACTTCAGAGTCTTGTAAATGTGTGAAATATACAGATGTACGTTTTTATCAAGTAGGAGGACAGGACATTGTATAATACATTAGTCTGATGTATTGGTGACGCCTTAAAAGGTTTCGAATGAGGTTCATTTATCAGAGCTTTATAGCTGAGTGGGATGTTTCCAACTGTTGAGAGATTTTCCATATATATATATATATATATATATATATATATATATATTTCTGAATACTTCAATAAAATGTTCTATTTCTCTGTCTCTCTCCCTCTTTTTCAGTGTAAAGATGGTGCTTTTATGGACGGCTGGTGACATCTTTAAGACCACATATTTCGTGATCAATGAAAGCCCCACCCAGTTCGTGGTCTGTGGTGCGGTACAGATCTTAATTGACATTGCTATTCTGCTCCAGGTGAGCTACTACGGCCAGGACACCAGAATCAAACTGGGCTGAGATCACTACAGTAATGATGGCGATGAACACTCCTAAATAAGGATATTCTACATGCTTCTTCTTATGCTTTTACTTTTTCACTATTTGTATTTTTATTTATTTATTTAATTTTTTAATACACAGTGGGGTTCAAAAGTCTGACCGCTAGTGAATAAAGTTCCATTTTGCTTTTCTCTCATTTAATATAACTTGGATTTAATGATTATATTTAATCATATATTTATTATTTTATCTAATGTTTTTCTTTTTCGGAATTGCATTATTAGCATGACAATTTGTGTGAAAAGTTCCAATGAAAATGTTAATTTATTTGGGGAAGCAAAAAAATTAATATATACAGTATCTGATCTTTTGTATAAAGTTCACACACTCCATGTCACAAATTAGTGGCCTAGAAGTAGAAGTTCTAATATTTTGTATTTGATTAGTTGTAATGCTTTTTTGTTTTAATTCCATTTAAAATCATAAAACTTATATTAATTAAATTCATTTTAAATTTGATTTTGGATCCCAGACTTTCAATTTGGTTTCAGTCTGTTGAACCCTGCTGCATATTCATTTTTTTTTCTTAAGTTATTCACGTCTTACCAAGTAGCAAGTTTTTCATTTAAAGAAGAGTGAACAGGCCTTATATGCACCGGCTGGACATCTTTATACCTTTTCTTTCTTTTTTTTTACATCAACCAAAAAATTATAATTTTACTAATCCAGCCTACAGGGTTGACTACAACTAGACAAAAGAAATGCCCCTTCACTTTGTTATTTTTACATTATTTGTATTTTTGCTAGCTTTTGTGAGAGCCAATATGCGCTTAGTGCAATTGAAGTGCTGGGAAATGCATGTCCCAAATGTATCTTCCACAAACTGGATTCCCACTGCTAGCTCATTTGTCAACAATTTGTGGTCCTTTTTCATTTTAGAGCACTTAAATCATTGTTACTTGTATAGTTGCACACAAAAATCCAAATTTTAAGCAGCAGATTAATTATAGGCTTTTAAACCTGAGCCTTTGAGTCAAAACCAGTTGCTGATGAATGATTTTATTACCTAACTTTAATTACCAAACCATATCAGTGGAAATGCATGAGGGTATGCCATAAATTTATAATGCGCAACTGATTTATCATGCATGATTGCATTGCAAACGATGCATAATTAGTCCCCTTTTAGCACAATAATTTCACTTTACTGTTGGTGCCAGTGTTTTGTAAAAGATGTATTTTTATCCAAAGTTTTTAATTGGGAAAAGTGGAATGATAATGTGTAATATTCCAATGAAAAAGCAGTTGTAGTTCATAGTAACCACACAAAGCCAGAGATGGACCACTTTGAGCCATATTGGGCTCATAGTCTGCCATGTCCTTTAAAGATGACCGTGATTACCTCATCCAGTCATATATCGTCACACCGAGATGAAAGGCAGTCTGCCCACAAACATTGACATTTGGACTGTTTTTATGTCTAAGTTGAATGGACTGTTGAGAAAATAAAATGCAGTCACCTCAACTCAGATGCTTCTGTAGTTGATCAGTTATGAGGAGACCTCATCATAAAATAGTTCCACTCTATTAAGTTACCATTCACACCGGCACGGAGTTATGTGCTATTTATCACTGCGAAGAAAAGGTCACTACAACTTTAAATCCCACTATAGTGCCAGGCTGCTCAGGGAGGACTACAGATGTGGCCTTAAAAAAGCACTTTCAGATTCCTTCTCAGTTTTGGCTCTCTGTCTTCCTCGCTGCCCATATTTCACAGTAGGGATTTCGACATGCCAATGGAGTGTTTAAGCCCGGTGGCTCCTTTAGCATTAGTTGATCGTCAAAGTTTGCTGTTGGTTATGACAGATGGTCACAAGGCCTCAGCCTCAGCTGTTTACTCCCTGCATGGGCAGCTTTATTGGCTTTAGTTCTCATTGTGGTAAGACTTTGTGTGTGGTAAATATTTGTTCTGCTGTGCTGTTAACCACCTCATTAACATATCTGACCCCAGCAAAGGTCAAAACCACCAACACATGGATGACTATGTGTGAGCCCACTCTCTGCCAAAAAAGAATACATTGCATTAATGTAGTTCTATGCAATACATTTGGTTGAATGTCATATGGAAATTTGTACTTTTGTTAATATTAAGTTAATATTGTTATTGTATAATAAGTTAATATTGCCTGATATTGATAACGTACACTACCATTCAAAAGTTTAGGGTCCTTTTTTTAATAATAAGAAATTACTGTTTTTGAGCAGCAAATCAGAATGATTTCTGAAGGATCATGTGACACTGAAGCCTGGAGTAATGACTGCTGTAAATTCAGCTTTGCATCAGAGGAATAAATTATTTTTTTAAATGTATTCAAGAGGAAACAGTTGTATTAGATTGTAATAATATTTCACAATATTACTTATCCTACCATCCTCAAACGTTTGAATGGTTACATCCAAAGACTTACTTTTTTTCTTTAATAATCATGGATATATTTCTATTGTGTCTGTTTATGGTTCCAATTTTCACTGTTTTGTTAGTTGCACATGGCTGGTACAGTAAACAGCTTTGCCAAGCTTTGTAATTCTCTCATCATCAGTGAGGAAATCGCACTGATGAGCAAGATAACAGTCTATTATGTTTTTAATATTGTGTGATAATGAGCATTTATTGTTGCCTTAATGGTCTGAACATTTTTGTCATTCAGGTCAAAAATGTGCCTTAAAAAATGGCATGTCAAACAATCTTTAAGCATTGTTAGTTGTCATTGTTAAAGCAGCATAATTCATCTTTTTTTCAGGATGTTAGTGATTATGGCATTGTGTGCACACACACACATTAAATGACTGAGATGTTATTGTATGAAAGAATCCATGTTTCATATAAAAAACAATACTCTGTACTTTTGTCCTTACTTTATTTATTTTGTGTCTTTTTCTTCCTTATATCCTGTTGTGTGAATACCAGATGAGCCACGTTGTCAGCATGTTATGTAACTATATCTTTATTGCTTGTTGAATGTTTTTTTTATTTGCTGAATTATTTGTATTTGCAACGCTCCAGTGACATACTTAATTTAATAACATCTGATGCATGATTGCACATTTGAAATTACATTTAAATTGCTTGTGTGACCAGTGTAGTGGGCTGTAAAATTGAAAAACCAAATTCCATCCTTTCCTGATTCTGTACCGAGCGTGTGTGACAGAAGACGGTGAATGACCCTTACTGATAATAAAAACAGCTTCACTGATCAGAAAGTGTTCAGCTTTCATCTGCTGCACTCTGACCCACAGTCCTGAACTTGACAGTACTGCACTTTACAAGGCTGCATGATCATTTGGTGTCAGCAGTGAAAGAGGCTCGGTATGAAATATTCAAGGTTGTGGGGAAGACTGGATTATAGATGAGAGACTAAGCCTTCAGGATACCTGTATCCCTCCATAATTGAAATCCCATATATTAATGATATGGTACAGGCTGTCACATTGATGACTGAGGGAATCCTGGGTGTTCTTGATCAGTCCTAAGAATGGGGGCTGTGATGGCTAAGGCCACACTTAATAATTAGGCTAATTTATTTCAAACGTTCTAGTTTTCTTTTTTAATTTATTTCATTTATTTGTAGGAGAAATTGATTTTGTTTTGTTTAAGGAATTAATTGTTTGTTTGCTTGTTTATAAATGTATATGTATTTATTTTGTCTCTTTAATATTATTTACCCAAAACATTTTGTGTTAGTGGTGCATGTTGTCTCTTATGCGTGCATTGAAGATCAAAGAGCGAGACAACAATTCATTACTAGAGTGCACGCTAGTGATTGAATAAAACCACAACTAGACAAGATATGGGTTAATATTTTCTTTATTTAATTGATTGAATGATTGTGTATCTACCCGTGGTTCTGCCGGGATCCATGACTGCAGCATGGAACAAAGGCTTGTTATTAAAAGAGCGCAGCATTTCCTGATGTCCTTTTGATTGTTTGCTAGGAATTATGGGTAATGTAGTTTTACCATATGGGTTTGGAATGTTTGTTCATTTGAATGTGTTATTATAAAGGGCATTCTTTCCTGTTTATTTTATTATTGCTTTATGGTGAATGGAATTTCATATGTTTATAGAGTTTATTTGTATATATCATATATTTATTTTTCATTGAGGTTTGATGTACTGAATTGAGACCCCCTTTAATTATAAAAAGGCCCAGAACTCAGTAGTGTGCTGATATTTCATTTATCAGTTAGTTTTTCTTTCTTTTCTTTTGGTTTTTCACATTTTTTCCTGCACCTTTGTGATCAGTACATGAGTGTGGCAGTTAATAAATGGAAATTTAAGGATTCTATAAATGCCTCCTGAAAATTTTATGGAAGAACCCTTACAGGGGCATTCGGGTGGGTGGTTTAGGAGCCTGATGCAGGGACAGGGAAATGATGGATTGAGTTACTACATTTGCTTGTTTTTATCTCCTTCTGTAATCTGTAGACAGTCCATTACAACGATGAAAGCAGACATTTCATTTGATTTTTGATCAAATAAGATACTACTTTCAAAAACATAAAAAAAAAATCAAGTTTCAAGGCTTCAGCAGCCATTACTCCATGATCCTTCAGAAATCATTCTGATATGCTGAATTATTATTATTGTTATTGTTATGCTGACTTATTATTATTATTATTATTATTGTTTCAATACATACATCATGGTAATGAGAATCTGAGGGCAACTGAGCTTAAACTGTCGTTAAAATAATTTCACGATGCAAAAAAAAGTGGTCTTGCATATAGACTATTTTCTTTATGCAAAATTTTATTCAGTTGTTTTTTGTTTAATATTGGGGTGAAATGTTTTCATCAAGAGATTTACCCCTTTCATCTGTGTTATGTCAAGATTTATATGGGGAGAAATGTGTGGTTGATTTCTCTGATATCTAATAACAAATGATTCTTGCTCAACCTTCTCGATGGACCATCTTATGTCATGTGGAACGTCTCTGCTATGCTTTAAAGCTGTTCTTGAGATGTCCTGATAATTGCTTCTGTAGCGGTGGGTTGACCTGACCTGAGTTATGGTAC